GGAGAAACACATGGAGGTGGTGCTGGGTATCGCCTTTGCCATCGCCATCCTGCTGGTGAGCACACACACAAAAACACACGCTTAAATTTCTCACCAGAAACTGCTGCTAGACATACAGATAGTTAAGATTCGTCCTACAGAGCGTCAGTGAATGACGATGTGATATATAATAAAACCATGTTTATATTAAACAGCCTTTGACATTAACAAACAGAACTACAATATGTTTTATAAAAGATTAAAAATACACAAAACTACTTGACTGTTTCCATTTTATACTTGTAAGCCACTACATCTCAGAGAGACACATTGTACTTTTTAGTGCACTACAAGGATTTGATAACTTTAGTTATTTTGCAAATTCAGATTATGAATACAAAATATACATTAAATCATGATATATTAATACAGATTAAGTGACCTAGCAGTCTATAAAAATATTTAAAATGAACTCCACTTTAACCAGCTGCAACATTAAAGTTATAAACAAATGAATACATCATTAACTATAATCCAGTAATATATTATTATTTATTTATTATTCTGAAACAGGCCGTTCAGCATAATAAGTAATATTGGTACTTTAAGTATATTGTGTTGCTAATACTTTTCTACTTTAACTTAACTTGTAAGTACCTCTACCACCACTGGTAGTAATAGAGGCAGGTGCCTCGTTTGTGGATAATCAAACCTAATTAGGAAAACAAGTGGGCCCAGGATCAAACCATGGGGTGCACCACATTAATATTAAATCTTCCTGAACAGAACTTCCCAAGAGAAGCAAAGTCAGAAAGAAACCTGCCGAGCTACGTTGCTAGACTCTTAAAAGGAGATCATTGCAAAGTCTTAGCAATTAATTATATTTCCAATTGAGGTGTTTCAACTAAAGGCAAAATATAATAAATGTTTGACCAGATTCGATGATTTACAGGACAAAATAAAACTAAATTTTATATATTTTTTAAGTATCATGTCTGCGTTTAGGGTTTGGTTATCTGAAGTGTTTCCTCTCTTTCCCTCGACAGATTTTCGGCATGGTCTTTGCCATGATCCTCTACTGTCAGATCGGCAGGAAGGAGGGCGTCACCCCTGCCACCACCGCCTGAACACGCACTTGTGATCACACCCCCTCGCTGCCTGGCAACAGCCAATCAGCAGTGCCCACATGACCCATGTAACCTCAGTGCTACTGTAACCTATGCTTTTACTGTGGAGGAATACACTGATATTTTGGTTGAAATTAAATGTCATTAATACAGATAATACACGGCCTGATGTCTGAGTACTGACAAAAAACTATATACATATTTTAGGTAAACATGAGAATTTCTGCATGTGAAAAATTAACAAATTAGTGTAATTTTAATTAACTAAATGAATAAAATTGTTTTTCAACAAGTGGATTTCCCACTTGTGTACCTTAACTCATTGTATGGACGTGTGTTTATGCTGTGGACAGTTCACACTGTGGCCTCAAGGAACAAAATTTAGGAAAATGACTGTTGTCTGGGGCTTAATATGTATGGGCCTCCATTACTGTAAAAAAAAAAAAAAAAAGTTAAGTTATGTGAAAGGTGCCTAAACGTATAATGAAGTACTAAATCATAGTTGTCTTGGTATTTCTGCAGGCATTATTTTTTGTTAGATGCAGAAATGGGCTTCCACTTTTTTTCTTTGTCCAAACGCTGCTGCAGCTGTCTGTCATGTCTGTCGCCATTTTTGGAAAATATTACAAGGTAATCCTCAGGAAGTTAAAGTTATGGTGTGTGCGTGTTTGTTCTAACATAACTCTGTAAACCTTTCAGAAATACAAGATACAGTAAAAGAATGACATAGCCATGAGAAAGCATGACACCTTGAATTTAATGTTACACCACATTGTTATATTACTTATCAACTTTTGATTATTTTATTAAAGTGTACAGGTGAGCTAATCTTTTGGAGCAAAACTTCTTTGTCTTTGCACTCTGAATGTTGTTTCTGTTGCATTTTTTACATACACTGGTTGAAAACTGTAAGGATCATTTTTTTGTCACCGAACTAGTTTGGGGACATCAAGTGTCACATGATTGAGGAAGGGAAATAAAAACTGAGAGAAACAATGTCAAACTTGTCATGAGTATCTCGTCATTATTATCTTTATTTATATTCTGAGGGACTGTATTGTGACTATAGTTTATTCAACATACTCATCTACTTATTTCACGTACTGCACGATGACATTTTTTTTAGAATTTTTATTATGCATACATATGCATATGCATTTTTTTCATGATTTCGGACGACATGCTATACTATGACGTTTTTTCATGATTTTGGACGACATGCTATACTATGACGTTTTCTCATGATTTCGGACAACATATGACGTTTTTTCATGATTTTGGACGACGTGCTATACTATGACGTTTCTTGATGATTTTGGACGACATGCTATACTCTGACGTTTTCTCATGATTTCGGACGACATGCTATACTATGACGTTTTCTCATGATTTCGGACGACATGCTATACTATGACGTTTTTTGATGATTTTGGACGACATGCTATACTATGAAATTTTTTCATGATTTCAGATGACATGCTATACTATGACTTATTTTCATGATTTCACACGACATGCTATACCATGACGTTTTTTGATGATTTTGGACGACATGCTATACTCTGACGTTTTCTCATGATTTCGGACGACATGCTATACTATGACGTTTTCTCATGATTTCGGACGACATGCTATACTATGACGTTTTTTGATGATTTTGGACGACATGCTATACTATGAAATTTTTTCATGATTTCAGATGACATGCTATACTATGACTTATTTTCATGATTTCACACGACATGCTATACCATGACGTTTTTTGATGATTTTGGACGACATGCTATACTCTGACGTTTTCTCATGATTTCGGACGACATGCTATACTATGACGTTTTCTCATGATTTCGGACGACATGCTATACTATGACGTTTTTTGATGATTTTGGACGACATGCTATACTATGAAATTTTTTCATGATTTCAGATGACATGCTATACTATGACTTATTTTCATGATTTCACACGACATGCTATACCATGACGTTTTTTGATGATTTTGGACGACATGCTATACTCTGACGTTTTCTCATGATTTCGGACAACATGCTATACTATGACGTTTTCTCATGATTTCGGACGACATGCTATACTATGACGTTTCTTGATGATTTTGGACGACATGCTATACTATGACGTTTTTTGATGATTTCGGACGACATGCTATACTCTGACGTTTTCTCATGATTTCGGACGACACACTATACTATGACGTTTTCTCATGATTTCGGACGACACGCTATACTATGACGTTTTTTCATGATTTTGGACAACACGCTATACTCTGACGTTTTCTCATGATTTCGGACGACATGCTATACTATGACTTTTTTTGATGATTTTGGACAACATGCTATACTATGAGTTTTTTTGATGATTTTGGATGACATGCTATACTATGAAATTTTTTCATGATTTCGGACGACATGCAATACTTTGACGTTTCCTCATGATTTCGGACGACATGCTATACTATGACGTATTTTTATGATTTTGGACGACACACTATACTATGACTTTTTTTTTCCATGATTTTGGACGACATGCTATACTCTGACGTTTTCTCACGATTTCGGACGACATGCTATACTCTGACGTTTTCTCATGATTTCGGACGACATGCTATACTCTGACGTTTTCTCACGATTTCGGACGACATGCTATACTCTGACGTTTTCTCACGATTTCGGACGACATGCTATACTATGACGTTTTTTGATGATTTTGGACGACATGCTATATACTATGACTTTTTTTGATGATTTTGGACGACATGCTATATTATGACATTTTTGTCATGATTTCAGACAACATACTATACTAAGACATTTTTTCATCATTGTGGATGACATACTATACTATGACGTTTTTTTTCATGATTTCAGACGACATTCTATGCTATGACGTTTTTCACGATTTTGGACAACACGCTATATTATGACGATTTTTTGTGATTTCGGACGACATAGTATACTATGACATTTCTTCATGAGTTCGGATGATATGCTATACTATGATGTTTTTTTCATGATTTTGGACGACATGCTATACTATGATGTTTTTTCGTGATTTTAGAAGACATACTATACTATGACGTTTTTTCATGATTTCGCACGATATGCTATACTATGACGTTTTTTGATGATTTTGAACGACATACTATACTGTCACTTTTTTTGGTCAACACGCTATACTATGACTTTTTTCCATGATTTTGGACAACATACTATACTATGACGATTTTTTGTGATTTCGGACAACATAGTATACAATGACATTTTTTCATGAGTTCGGATGATATGCTATACCATGATGTTTTTTTCATGATTTTGGACGACATACTATACTGTCACTTTTTTTGGTCAACACGCTATACTATGACATTTTTTCATGATTTTGGACGACATGCCATTTTGAGACGCATTTTCGTGATTTTGAACAACATGCTATGCTGTGACATTTTTCATTCAGTTCTGGTCAACATTCCTGCAGTCAGCATGTTAACAACAGGCTTCACCTGTGTCATTGTGTTGTGATCAAACATCACATTTCAGATTGTCCTGTTGTTGTGACCATTCTGCAGCACATCTGTGAAGTTATGACGCTGTTTAATCAGCTACATCTGTCAGGTGGATGGATTATCTTGGAAAGGAGAGCTGCTCACACAGATTTTAACATATTTATGATCAAACTTAGAGATAGAAATCTGTTGAGTGCATGAAAAAATTCTGAGATCTTTAACTTAAACCTGTGAAAAATGGGAGCAAAAACAAGTGTTGTGTTTAAAGATTAGTTGAGTGTATCTTCTATATAGTTTCTGCTCTTTTGTTGTTTCTCTGCACAGAAGTGTGTTTCTATCCGTCTGTCTAATCCAGAATGACTCCACATCACAGGTTGCTGTTACAAAATTGCACCACTTTATTCATTTAAGGCTTTTTAGTTTTTACTTTACATTTGGCTTCACCCCCCCTCCCCCCCCTCCCCTACCTCCCGCTGCTGCTGTGGGTTTCTGTACTGGAAGAAACCAGTTCGCACCAACGTTCATACCAGTTTTAAACCCCAACGACTGCCGAACCCTGATGATTCAGCAAAGTGGAAATTTAACCTGACACGTGCGCTGGCTGAACTGGTTCCTTTTACATTTCACTGGTCATCATGCCATACAGAGAAAAAAGAAGCAGATTTATTTCAGTAATGTAAAATAATTTCTTCTTTAAATGAATCGTTTCAGTTTGCATTTTGGCTGAGGCTGCAGTCGTCATTTCGGTGCAACTTCTATTCAGTGTAGGAGCCGTTTTTACAGAAGATCATAATCAGTTTAAGTACAGACACAGGTCCAAGATGTGTTTAGCCTAGCTTAGCACAAAGACTGGAAGCAGAGGGAAACTGCTAGCCTAGCTCTATACAAAGTGAACAAATATGCCTCAGTTTATCATGGACGTTCACAGGATAGTTACGATTTTTTAGAGTGGGGCAGTATGAGGTACTTATCTGTAGCCAGTGTATTAGTAGATAAGTAGATGTCCGTCGGCACGCCCCCAGTTTGGAGAAGCAGCAGGAGTACAACCAAAGCTAAGTAATGTACGGCTATGTCGGGGTCAGCAATAAAACATATTTCAACTCCCTAAAAAAGTCCCAAATAAAACAATCAAAATCAGTTTTAATATACTCTATACTTAGAGTATTTTCACTGCTTAACCTTACCATCAGACAGCAACTTTCGATGGGGAACTGAAGCTGTTATATCACCCTCTTCAAAGCCAGACTCCTTTGAGAAAAACAGTGATTCAACATCACTGCATGTGAGCTTCTGGTGTACTGCTGCCTCGAACAGTTAGTTAGTGTTATTGGGGTTTAAAAGGGTCAATTTGGACTCACCGAGGTCACACAATAACACAAACTAACTACCTGATCGAGGCAGCGGTGGAGCAGCAGCTCCTGTGTTCTGCAAGCTAAAATTACAGTTTTAGGGAATGGAGTTTGGTGGCTTTGGAGAGAGCATACATGGAAATAAAAAGCAACGGCTTCCCAATTGGAACGGGCTGTCTGACAGAAGGTAAAGTGGTGAAAATAATCTCAGTATAGCGTACACTTAATCTGTGATAGATTTTTTTTAGGTGGCTAAAATATATTTTGCTGTGGCCCCCATCCACAGCAGCTCACTGCTTAGATCCTGTGTCAGTACTCCAGCCTGCTTCTCCAAACTGTTAATGAGCATCTACTGCATGTAATACACTGACTATGGATAAGTATCTCATAAAACCCCACTTCAAAAAATCCTAACCATCCCTTTAAGGCCTCTGTATGCTTCAAACGAAAGCATCTGATGCCAAGTTTTTAACTTCTTACTCAATGCCAAGTGTCTAGAAAGAAAGAAAGAAAACTTTTGCCTTTAGAAAACACATCATTCAACTTCTTCTGAAGCATGCTGAGGCCTTTAGATCTGCCAAACGTTTAAGACAAAACTACATAATCACTAGAAGAGTTTAGCCAAAGCAGTCAACCGTTACAGCCCAAGAAGTCACACGAAATGACGAATGCCACCACAGTCTGTGTTACTGTGGAAGCCAGAAAGATCTGTCTGCAGCTGCGGCAGGTGTTGATCTGACTGGCAAGCACATCATCCAGGTGCTGCATCGGCCACTGAGCTGATGGCAATATTTATACTACATGTTTTAATCACGCCAGGAATGCCTCACCACAGCCGCAAACAGACCTTTCACCTGGAAGCTTCTGCTTGGCATGCAAACTGTCGCAGCACCTCCTGGAGGTCAGACTGAGTACTGACAGAAACATCAACATGCTACATGACTGAACGTACTGCAGGAGAACCAGAATACTGACAGCAGTACCACACTGTACCGCGGTACTCCCGATAGTACTACACTGTGCACAGCAGTACTCACAGAGGTCACTGGTCCAACATACTGTATCTGTAAGATGACCACTCTCACATTTCAGACAAAGACAGATATTCAAAGGCTTTCTGTGGCTGCTGCTTCACAGGCCACGCCCACTAATGCACAGGGGCGGGGCTTCCGCTTTAAGCCCAACCTCCTCAAAGGAAATACGTCTCAGAGATTTTAGGCCAACTTTCTTCTTTCACTGATGGGAATAAAGACTCCAAAATCCAGGTGTCAGTGGCTAACACTTTAGCATGTTAGCTTTAAGCTGCTAACACTCAACCCGGAGAGCTAAAGTTTTAGGGACTGTTCGTTATTTATGAGGGGCGGGGGCATGTCAAATATCTTGTTAAGCACTGGGGAGGGACTTAAGTTTTTCATTTGGGCTGAGGGGAGGGGCAAACAACTTTAAATAGTTGTGTTCTGTATTTATTTTAAAGAAAAGTGCCAAAATAAAACCATTCATCACCGCCAGAAACTGTAAAAACAAAAACTATCAACGGATTTTCACATTTCTGACAGTCCTTGGACAAATCACGTGCGACAAACGCTTCTGAAAATAAACAAAAAACAATCTGAGCTTAAAATAGTGATATTTCATCAAAATCACTTCATTCTTATGAAGCTTCGGGGAGGGTCAAAATAAATAAATAAAAACAAACAAACAAAAACGAAGTCACACCCCAGCCACCCCCTCCACTGACAGGTAAAGAACAGTCCCTTAGCATGAAACATGTGACCCAATGGACCAGCTCGAACTTTCTGAGGCCACCGTTGGTCCTCCAGAGCTGAATACTTTAATATATGCCCATCAGTGAAAGGACAGATAATTCAGTGCTCCCCCCGAGATGTGTTAATAACATTAATAAGCAGGTAATAATGTGGTTAATAATACAGAAACAACAGCTGCTGGCTGCCCTGCTCAATAATATAACTCAAACCCCCCCCCCCCGGGCCAAAAAGGTCATCACAGAAACTGGCGTGGTTCATAGTTGTTATGCAGCTCACACACACTAACAAACAAACAAACACACACACACACACACACACACACACACACACACACACTCACATGAAGAAGGTACTGGACCAGTGTGAGTCTGCTGTCTAAAGGCAACATGTCCGCCCTGAGCAGCAGGTCAAGGGTCAGCTCACCGTGCTGCTAAAGTAACAAGTTAGCTCGCAGCTACTGTTGTTTATTTGTTTCTTTGATATTGTGGCGTTGTTATTCATCTGTGATGTTTTGAAACTCAACACTGTTTACAAACAGCCTGTTTGGCACTGTAAGCTGTTCCTTATTTACAAGCTAGCTCTCAGCTAGCTGACACGCTAACTCACAGCAACCATCATCCTATTTGTGAAGATACCATCAGTTTCTTTAGCGTGGGCTAATAATGCTAAAGTGTTGTCGCTCACAATGTTTTGAATGTATTTTACTAGCTGCTGGGCTAACAAGATAGCCCATGGCTATAAGTGCACAAACAGTGTGTTAGCATAGTTAGCATTTCCTCTTAACAATTTCATTTGCAACTGAGACTAGGAGCTAGCCCTTGGCCAACAGCTACCATCAACTTCTTTGGGGATATCCTAATAATGCTAACACCACACACGCAGCCTAATTTGTTCACAATGTTTAAAATGTAGGCTAACAAATAGCCCAATGCCATTAGTACACAAAAAGAGTGTTAGCATAGTAAGCATTCCTTCCTAACAATACCAAAGCATTTCATTTGCTACTAGGACTAGGAACTAGCCATGGCCTAAAACTACCATCAATCTGAGAATATGCTATTAATGCTAACATCCCACATTCAGCACTGTAGAGGTGTTGTTGCTGACAATGCTAAGAAAGTCTTTAACTAGCTGCTTGGCTAACAAAGTAGCCCAAAGCTATGAATACATAAACATGTGTTAGCAAAGTTAGCATTCCCTCCCAAAAACGTCACAGCATTTCTTTTGCTCACACGACTAGGAGCTAGCCCTTAGCTAATAGCTACCATCAAAATATTTGGGGGCAAAGCTAACACCACACAAGTAGCATAATTTGTTCACAATATTTCTAATGCATTTTACAAGCTGCTAGGCTAACAAGCTAGCCCAAAGCTAAAAGTAGCATACACAAAAAGTGTGTTAGCATAGTTAGCATTCCCTCCTAACAATGCCAAAGCATTTCATCTGCAACAGGGACTAAGAACTAGCCGGTGGCCAAGAGCTAACATCAGTTTCTTTGGGGATATACTGGTAATGCTAACACCACAGAAAGCTCACTGTACTTTGAATGCATCGCACACAGCTATGTGTCCACATTAACCGTCTCTAATAACATGCTAATAAGGCTGTCACCGTACAAATAGCGAATTTGGATAGTAAGTTTGCCAATTCACTCCCATAGCTGTCAGCTAACTTAAGTTAGCTCAAAGTTAGGAACAAGGTGAGCTGACCTGCGTGACCTGCTGCACTCCCTAACCCCCCGCCCCCGAACCCAAAAATCAAAAAAACAAAAACATTAAATGACTTTTATATCTTTTCACACAGAATCATAATAATAACCACCGTAATAATAATCACTGTAATGATCCACAGGTTAAACCAGAGCCACACACACACACAGAGTCAGCCGTGTTAGCCGTGACATCACTGTGGCAACAACATGGCTGACAGTAAAGTGGTCAAATTGCGTGTGAATGACTCGGGGCTGCTGGAAAATAAGTAAAAGATAAAGAAAGGAAAGAAACATTTAAAAGTAAAAGCAAGAAGCCACTCCCCAGCACAAAATGGCCTAGCAGAGAGCATGATGGGAACCGTAGTTTGGACAGCCCCCATTCCTGCAACAGCAGAATCCTTATCTTCATCATTATCATCATCATCATCATTGCCGCCGCTGCAGTCTTTTGATGTTTGGTTTTAATGTTTCCAAGGCAACAGTCTCTGAGACTGTATGGTGAGGGAATGGGAGATGTGGTTGTCACGGGAACAGAGGTCAGAGGTGGCTGATGTTGATGATGACATGGCTGTGTTAAAGGGGCGTGGCCAGCTGGAAGATGTCCTGTGATTGGTTGGTTGGTTGTCGGTCAGGTAAGGAGAAAACTGGAAAGAGAGAAGAGAAGAATTCTCAAGAATACTGCCGACATACGTTGTGTTTCTAGACTTTGGTGTGTAGACGAGCAGGATGAGAAATAATCTCATAAGGAATCTTGTCTCAGTCTGTCGATACTGACCAGATCAGGCTTTAGTCTCCTTCGTAAGTCTTTTCAGGGTCTTCTGGATGTCTATAAAGACTTACCTGTCATTAGAGAAGTTGACAGTTGGACTTTTTGCGAGTTTTCCCTTGAACTGGACTCTTCCTGTTAATCTGTCGCACAAGGTCATAGAAGATCTGCACACACAAACACACACCACATCAGTATTTTGGGCTGAATATCGAAAGTTAAGAAAAAAAACTTTTTCCGACCACATTGTCATTGGTCAGACGGTGCGTTGTGTTAATTCCATTAGGCTGTGTGTCCACCAAAGTATTTTTTTTCCCGGCTGAAAATGCCACATTGGAGGCTCGGCGTTTATTCAGCTGAGACACTTTGGTTGCATCTGGTTGCTATGATAGAGAATATTTGCAAAAGTAAAAATGTCAGCACAAGATAAAAGTTCTTGCTCAGGATGAAGGGAAGGCTGAAGCACATAGGAGAGAGGACGGACTCGCTGGTCTACATGGTCATTGGTATTAATTTCGCCTCCATTGTTGTTGAAATGACTGTTGATCTTTGTATTACTTGTCCCGCCCCTTCTTCACTGTAATTGGACCACTGGGTAAAAAGTGACAGTGACAAACGACTGCAGTGACTCACCAAAACGTGGACATATTTCAACTCTCGATGACCAGAAAAAACAGCAAATGTGCAGCGCCTCGTCACACAGCTGGCATGTGGAGCACTGTGTACACGTGGTTGAGCACACTCAGTGCACTGTGGCCGATTTAGCTAATCTAGAGATAACGTCCGAATTTTTTCCCCCATTGACCAATCGAATGGTTGAAGAGTAAGTAGGATTTCAGTCGACCAAGATTTTCCTGAGTTGGTTACAGACCTATTTGATATACTAACACACAAACCTGAGACAACACAACCGAAACCCAAAGTGAACATAATTTGGACCTGGCACAACTCGGCTCCTGGGTTGGGTGTCGGTTCGTAAGAGCAACTGAATGTAAAGACCTCTAATGTATATGTACATAAAGTGTGCGTGTGGTCACCTCATTGACGTTGATCTTGCTCTTGGCCGAAGTCTCAAGGAAGGCGCAGGAGTTCCACTGGCGGGCAAGGCCGATGCCTGACTCTTTGGCCACCACACGCTCCACCTCCAGGTCACACTTATTTCCAACCAGGATCATGGGAACCTGCAACGTCACATCGAGTTTTCATATTTATATTCACAATCCGAATTGACGACTTCAGAAACTGAGAAAACGCTTGAAGTCATAGGCGTCCATGTTTAACAAGAGCAAAACGAATCAAACTAGAATTACTGCAAACTAGTCTCACTAATTCAGTATCTGACCAAATGTCTCCCCCTCTGTTCCCGAGTTATGACTCAGAAACAAATTTCCTTAAGGTGTTCTTGAGATATTACGTTCTTAAGAATGAGCCAGACAAGATCACAGTGACCTTGACCTTTGACCACCAAAAACTTATCAGTTAATTGTTGACTCCAAGTGGACGTTTGTGCACATTTTGAAGAAATTCCCTTGAGGCGTTCTTGAGATACAGATATTGTGTTAACAAGGATGGGACAGATGGATGAACATCCCCTACACATAATGCCTCCGGCCACATCTCTCACCAGCGAACAGGCATAAACATCGTCAACAGACTCTCAGACAACTTTGAGAGAATTTTCTCAGTTTTTGAATTCTTACTTTACCATAAAGGCATGTGTGAAAAGTGTTCCTCATGAATTTCATGTAACACACGTGGTGAGTAACTGAAAGACAAATGATCATTTTGTGGGTGATGTCTTCCTTGAAGTCTGCGTCTTTAATGTGTTGAGAATACGATAAAGTCAGCGATTAAATATTGACCTTTCAAATTAAGAGCACTGCAGCGAGGTGATTCCATAATGTGTAAATGTGGAGCTGTGGTCACTTCCACGTACAACACATGTGGCTCCACTTCAATTTTGATTCAGTGCTCAATGGTGAGGTTTCAAAGAAAAATGCAGTACCAGGATTTGTCCAGCAGATGTCACCATTTACACCGTACAGATCCCTCTGACTCAATCAAGAAAAGCTTCATCTCCACCATCTCTACTTAAACTCTAGTGCTGAAACAACTGGTCAACAATCAAACATCAACAACACTTCATCCATTTATCATTTAAGTCATTGATGAAGCGAAAGTGCCAAAACATTGTTTGGCTGCATTTTGTCTAATGTGAGATCTTAATTTAAACATCAGTGGATTGTTGTTTGGACAAAACAAGCAGTTCATGGATCTTATCTTCAGCTCGAGGACATTTTAATGGACGTGTTTTACCTTTTTCATTTGTTTTCATTTTATAGACAGTAATTTAAATGACAAATCAAAGAATTGAGCAAAAATAATTGTACCAGATCTTTAGCTTTACAGCACAAGTATTACAGCCGGACGTTACAAGCTTGATGGGATTAGAAAACGTGAAGTGCGGCGCTGGAGTCACAAGACTTTCGGTGTCACTTAACTTGATTCATCACTCAGAGCCGTCTCCTCCTGCTCCCTGTCTGACGTTATGAAACAACAGAGAGCAGCACAAAGGTAAATCTACACTAAGCTGCCAGTTTATTAGGAACACCTAGCTAATACTAACGCAGTCTAATACAACAGCCCTGTTTTTAAGAGATGTTGATTTTACTGTATCATCTTTGTAGATGTAGTTTGTGAGCTGTGGTGAAACCAGGACTTCCAGGTTCTGTTACAGAAGTAAGAAAACCTCATTCAAGAGACTTTCTCAGCTGTGTGTCGTGTGGCTGCTTCATATGTTTGGATAAAGATGTCGATGTAATATATTGTTTATTTGATATTCCTGTGTTTGAGTGGCCTTTAACGAACACCAAGCCCTTCACCTGCAGCAGCTACATTACACACACGTCTGCAACAACAGCAGGACAAAGACGACTGTGGATGTTTTTGGACATCAGAGATACAACGTTGTAAATATTAAAAGAAGAGAACGCTGGTGAGGTTTATGGATATAAACTTACCATGACGCTAACAACTCTGCTGAAGAGCTTGTCGTTTTTCGCAGTTTAAGTAAAATCGCAAAAGTTTTCACTTTCACTTCTGCAGTGGACCTGATTTGTTTGTTATGAAAAAATTAAAAATAAAAACCTCGAGGAACATGCTTCATATTTCAAAAAGTGCACTTAAAATAAACTTCATTTCCCACAAGCCAAGGAGCTTATTTAATAGTCTGGCTTATCCCAAAACCTGACAAATTATTCAATAACATCGACTTTATCTCATAATCTTTAATTATTTAATCACTTGAACTTACGTCTTATTTTTAATCTCCTAATTTTGATTAAACTCTATATTTTTACTTATTTATTTTGACTTATCCCAAAATTTGACTAATTATTTAATAACAGACATTATTTCATATTTTCTTTTCTATTTATTATTTTTAATGATTTTCTATTTTTAATCTCCTCATTTTAATGTATCTCCACATTTTTACTTTGTATTCAATAATTTTTACTTAGCACAAAATTAATTATTTCATTATTTTATTCCTTATTTTTGTCACCTAATTTTTACTTATTCCCATATTTTTATTTTTATTTCTCAAAATTTTGGCTTAAATTTCCTAATTTTGACTCTTTATCTCACAATTTTATCACATCTCTTAAAAGAAATGCTGAATAAGAGACTGTGTTGAGTAATGGAAGCCAGAGTCCTGCAGCAGGTCAGGTATCTACAGGAAACCCTCAAAAAGCTATGTCACGGGTAAAAATATTCATGTACATATAAAGTCAAGGGCACGGGTAAAAATGAACTCACCGGCAGGCAGTGGGTGAGAACAAAAATAAATGTTTTTTATTTTTCAGAATAAAACCCAGTAAAAAGCTGTGCAGTATCTGTGTAATATTCTGACAGTTCCTTTTATTTTGAAAGTCAGTGACACAAGTGTAACCTTTGACCCCGTGGTCACATTGGTCACCAACGTGGAGGACTTCAGCCATGAAACTTTGCAGCCCGAGGATGAGGTGGCAGCCTACACGGAGTTTAAGCCCAGCTTAATGTGAGGGACGGGAGCCTGGGTGGGTTTGATCATGGGTGTGGGTTTCCAAACATTGACCTGTGCAGGACTCTGATAGAAGCTTGTGGAACAGAGGCTCAACAGGAAATGACATCATGACCTCAGCTCTCTATGTTGCCAGGTGTTTCTAGTGTGTTTAAGTGTGTGTGAGTGTGTCTTACGTCCTCGGTGTCCTTCACTCTGAGGATCTGCTCTCGGAGGTCCTGAAGGTCGTTGAAGGTCGACTGAGCCGTGATGGAGTAAACCAGAGCGAAGCCCTGACCGTTCTTCATGTACAGGTCTCTCATCGCCGTGAACTGCTCCTGCACACGCACACACACACACACACACACACACACACACACACACACACACAGGTCGTCAGGGAGACGGACTAATACGCTATATGGCCAAAAGTATGTGGACACTGTAGAATTTAGTGTCCTTTTATGTCTGTTCTTCCTGGTTTTATAAAGGGAGGTATAGATAAGGAAGAAAGTCACAAACTGTCCAAGGGTACAGACAGACAGACAGACAGACAGACAGACAGACAGATCTTACTGTTCCTGCTGTGTCCAGGATCTCCAACATACACTGCTGTCCATCGACCTCGACTTGCTGCAAACAGACAGAGACGTAGAGACAGTGAGTCCTCAGTTCTTCAACAAAACTATTCCACAAAGTTCCACCTCACTAAAACATCTCAACAGCGACCGGATGGACTGAGATGTGGTTCATCACTCGTGTTCCTCTCCGTCTGGCTTTTCGTCGTCATCATCAAGTCGACATGTTCATGTGTCCATGTTACGGTCTCTGGACCTTAGTACATTTATTTTCTGTGTTTAATGTGCTGTGCATGTCATTATGGGAATTATTCGGCCAGCACTTGTCAATCATTTACGTGTGTGTCTAATTGTCTGCTCTTCTGGAGGGAATCCCCGGCGGACCCCGCCTCCAGCCCACTCTCCTCTGCTGCTGTTCAGTGTTCCCTCGCTTTCTGGTCGGCCGGCCCCCTCGATGTCGCCATCGGTTCCGGCCAATCACCGCTTCGACGGCCCCTCGTCCGAACCTTTAAAGGCTGCACGAAGTCAAGAGCAATCGTGGCTGTGATTTAACCTGAGCAGTCCGCCTCGCTCGGTTTGTGTTTTCAGCTGCTATAATCTGTTCGTTGTTGTTGTATTTGGGAATCTATGGGCTTTAGGATTTAGCCTTGTAGCCTAGCCACATCTCCTTTGCACACACGCACGTAGATTGTTTGATGTATGGTACACTAGCTTTATGGGTGTCGGTTTGAGTGTTGTTTTGTTTGTGAGGTAAGTCATAGAGCAGACAGACAGATTTGTTTAAGTTTTGTTATTCTGGGTGGCCTTCCACCCCGTTAGTTAGTTGGGGTGTTTATTTTGTTGGTGACAGATCAGAGTTTTGTTTTGATTGTTTTATGGTTTGCCGTCACCTGCCGCCCTTCCCTGAATTTGTTTAAATGTAATTTACCGCCGAGGCTCCTTTTGTGAAGCCCGATTTCCAGGTTGTGTTGCTGAGCCTGCGAGCGTGTTTTTCTTTTCTGTACTGCTTTTTTTATAAAGCGTAGCTTGTATTGTTTATTTTGTGAATAAATAAATGGCAGCTTGCCTTATTCACTTCATTGTTTGGTTTTATGTTGCTTCCCTTACCCCTAGACACATACTGGGTTGTAACAGTCCAGTACTTTGGTTTATGACCAAACACCTGCAGAAGTTATGACATTCACATCAGCCTCAGCTGGACTCTGTGATTACTGATGATTAGCTAACGTACCAGGATGTTCGACTGTACGCTGTCGGATTTTGCAGTACGTAAGCCTGCACGCCTCTCTGTCTGTTCTGACCCACAATATAAAGTTAAACTACAGCAGACTTTATTATGTTTGTTTGTTTATGCGGCCCTCATGTTTCTGCATCAGTTTACAGACACTTCGGTGAGATGTGGTTTCTGTCGTGACGGATGTTTGTTGGGTGAGACCCATCGACAGCATTAAAACACATTTCATTTCCATCTGTGGTCTCAGACGGGTGGAGTGAGGCGCGCTGATAGTGCTGCTGTGACGAGCCTGCCCTGAACAGGACGGGTGGAGACAAGCGAGTGAGACTGAAGGAACAGGAAGTGTTCACACTGGACGTGCTGAGGAGACACATGAACGCCCTGCTCCTCTGCAGCTATATTCTTGTTTCATATCAAAGTTACTCATGACTTAAAAACACGTCGGTCAAAAAAATGAGACAAGAAGTTTTAGAGAAATAAACAAAGTGATCATCAGTGAAAATTATTGACTTATAATCTATTATTCCTGATTATTTTCTCCTGAGTTTGACGTATTATTTTCAATTTTTATTTCCTGTATCGCCATATTTTAATTCATTATCTCGTAATTTACTTTTTATCTCATAATTGCAACTTATCTCCTATTTTTTAGTTATTATTTAATATTTATTATTTATTTTCACATAATTTTGACTTATCTTCAATTTTTAATTCCAGTTTTACCATATTTTAATTTATTATCTCATAATTTTGACTTTTTATGTCATAATTGTAACTTAACTCCTAATTTTGATTTATTATTTAATATTCATGATTTATTTTCTCCTTTTGAGTTTTTATTTAATATTTTTTGACTTACTTTTACATATTTTTGATTTATTATCTTTAATTTTTAATTCCTGTTTTACCATGTTTTTAATTTATTGTCTAATAATTTTGACTTTTTCTCTCATTATTGCAACTTATCTCCTCATTTTGATTTATCATTTAATATTCATGATTTATTTTCTCCTAATTTTGATTTTCTGTCTTCACTTTGTACTTCCTGTAAAACCTTATTTTAATTTATTATCTCATATATTTAATATTAATTACTGTTTATCTCATAATTGTAACTTATCTCCTATTTTTTTTTAGTTATTATTAATATTTATTATTTATTTTCTCATAATTTTGACTTATTGTCTTCAATTTTTAATTCCAGTTTTACCATATTTTTTATTAACTATCTCATAATTGTAACTTATCTCCTCATTTTGATGTATTATTTAATATTCATGATTTATTATCTCCTAATTTTGAGTCTTTATCTTCAATTTTTATTTCCCATATCATCTTTTTTCACGTACTGTCTTGTAATTTTTACTTTCTTATCTTATCATTGGAACTTGTCTCCTCATTTTGACTTATTTAATATTAATTATTTTCTCTTACTTTTGATGTATAATTTATTATTCATAATTTATTTTCTCCCATTTTTGACTTATCTTCAATTTTTACATCCCATATCATCTCATTTTAATTTGTCTAATAATTTTGACTTTTTTATGTCATAATTGTAACTTAATTTAATTTATTATTTAATATTCATGATTTATTTTCTCCTTTTGAGTTTTTATTTAATATTTTTTGACTTACTTTTACATATTTTTGATTTATTATCTTTAATTTTTAATTCCTGTTTTACCATGTTTTTAATTTATTAGTCTAATAATATTGACTTTTTATCTTATTATTGTAACTTATCTCCCAATTTTGATTTATTATTTAATATTTATGACTTATTTTCTCCTAATTTAGATTTTTTTTATCTGCAATTTTTACTTCCCGTATCACCTTATTTTATTATCTCATGATGTAAACTATCTCATTTTGTCTTATCTTCAATTTCTACTTCCTGTATCACCATATTTTAATTAACTATCTCACAGTTGTTTTTTTTCCTCCTCATTTTAAGTTATTTAATATTTATGACTTACTTTCACATAATTTTGACTTATTATCTATAATTTTTTTATTCCTGTTTTACCATATTTTAATTTATTATCTCATAACTTTGACTTTTATCTCATAATTCTAACTTACCTCCTAATTTTGATTTATTATCTTTAATTTTTATATCCCATATCACCTGTTTTCACTTTCTGTCTCGTAATTTTTACTTTCTTATCTTATCATTGGAACTTATCTCCTGACTTATTATATTTGATTTTTACTTCCTGTATCACGTTATTTTAACTTCTTGTCTCATAGTTTTTACCTTTCAACTCAATATTTTGACTCAACAAATCTAAGTTTTGACGAACAATCATCATGATTAATTTTTCTATTCTTTTATCTATTTTTCCCTCTTTCATATTTTCCTGTTTCTCGACTTTTCTTGAGTTTTCTTCTTCTCTTCATTTACATTTTGCTTCTTCTTATCCTGATAATTTTCTTTTCTTTCTCCTGTCTTGTTTTGATCTTCTCATCTTTCTGCTTCTTTGTCTTCTTCCTCTTTTCTGTGGCGTTACGTTGTGGGATGGTTAGCAGCTAACATTCAGACAACCCTTGCTCCGTCCCACAGTGGATATGAACTGTCTCACACCACTCACACAGACCGACAGCAGAGACAGACGGGCTGAAGCCGTCTTACCTTCCTGTAGGAATCCTCTATCGTTGGGTCGTATTTCTCCACAAAGATTCCCTGAACAAACTGGACAGTCTGGAGACACACAGACAGGCAGAGAGACAGACAGGCAGTGAGATAAAGAGAAGTAGGGCAGTGGTGTTAATGGAGCTCTGTTCTGTTCTCCATTGGAAGTCATTAGAATGGAATTAATGTGACACACTGACACATCTCCATTATATCATCTGGAGTAAAGCACTTCATTGTAGTGACACTGTGTGTGTGTGTGTGTGTGTGTGTGTGTGTGTGAGATGGAAACACTGAGGATGATTCACAGAGAAACACAGTGACATCAGTCTGCATCCGTTTTCATCTGCAGAACTTTGAGTGAAAAAATTCTGAATGTTGCAACAAATGAAACTCAGATTTGATTTGATGCATTTTCATCATCATCATCATCATCATCAGGTGAGTTTGGGTTTGAAGCCTCACACACAGTTATACACCTCTTAAAGTGCGGTGTTACTCTCTCTGTGACAGGACTGTGGCAAAGAGCTCAAGGCGTCGACTTGGCCTCCAAATTCCTCAGATCCCAGTCTGATCGAGCATCTGTAGATGTGTTGGTACCTCTCCTCACAACACACAGGACTCAAAGGATCTGCCACTGGTACCCTGGTGCCAGACGCCACAGGACACCCTACTCCACACGGTCGATGCCACGACAGGTCAAAGCCAAGTCCGCCCCAAGGGGATGAGGCGTACCTCTGTGGTACTGGAACGTCCCACAGATTCTTGAGGCCGGGTCGACGCCTTGAGGTCTCTGTCACGTTTTTATGGCGAGACATGGTGCACTGTCCTGCTGCCATGGCTGTGAGGGGGTGAACTTGGTGTGTGACGGTGTTTGTGTGGGCGGAGCAACATCCGCTGTCGCAACGTTGACAGTTCTGCTTTAGTAGAAACAGCGAGGTGTGTTTAATGACTCACCAGAGCTGACTTGCCGACTCCTCCTGATCCTAAAACAACCAGTTTGTATTCACGCATCCTGACTGTCTGTCTGCTGGGCGAGAGGAACACACACACACACACACACACAGACAGACAGACAGACAGACAGACAGACAGACAGACAGACAGAGAGAGAGAGAGAGAGAGGTTACATTTCCCAGCAGCCAATCACAGAGCAGCATTACGACAACACACCTGGAGCTGTAAAACCATCAGTTACACACAAACACACGCACACGCACACACACGCACACACACACACACAGATGGAGACTTTCTCCCTTCTCTCTGGGAGGTCACGATTACCCAGCATGCATCTGGGCGCCTTCATGAAAACAGAGAGAGGTCACATGATCACCCACAGCTGGTGGTGATGTCACAACTGTGGAATCCTTCCTGGTTACTGTTACTATGCACCCTCATATATGTGTGTGTGTGTGTGTGTGTGTGTGTTTGCATACCAGTCATGCCTCATCGTGTGTTTGTCGTTGCAGCAACAAGAAGCAACATCACACACACACACACACACACACGCAGTCAGAGCTTCTTGAATCTGTTAATAAGGGTCTGCTGAGGTTACCATGGTGATGAGATAAGTGTGTGTGTGTGTGTGTGTGTGTGTGTGGTGAAGCAGGTGGTGTCAGGACCAAACATTAACAGCTCTCTCCCTCTAACAGCCATTTTTCCAGTGTGTTATTTTACCCAGAATTCCCTGTTTCATCTTGCCCGGCTCCAGCCCTTTGAATCCGCCCACTCCACCGAGTTGACCGATTCGTGTGTCATCACGACATCAAACGGCGGCGTCTCGGTTACAATAAAAAAAAAACGATCCAATGAGCGCCATGGGTGGGACTAGTGTCGTTGTCATGCATGAAGCAACTGGGTGGAGTGTTATCTGTTCGGGTGTCTGTGAACGCATCAGCAGAGGTGGATTTTTAGTGCCTGGAGGTGTGAACGCCGCCCGCCTCACTCCGTCTCCTTTCTATTTGATGCAACAAGTCCAGGCGAGTTCAGGGAATCGCAGGAAGTCACAAACTGAGGCAGCAGGCGAGGCCGGTGAAGAGAAGGTAAATTATGACTCCCAAACCTGAGTCTGGATTTTCCCCTCACGTTTCAACGTGACACACAGTCAGAGTAAAAACATGGAATAAAGACATTTAAATCTGCATCAGGTGATGTTTGTGGTCACACCCACACATCATCGCCTTATTAAACTGTTACTGCTGATGTGTTAGCAAACAGTTTGATGATTCATCTTTGTGTTTGTGTCACATGATGAATGTTGGTCCAGTATTCTCTCTCTGTGTTTGGTCTCCACCACCTCCTGAGTCTCTAAGGCTGCTATCAGCCCTAGAGTAGTCTCCTCTGGTCTGAATCAGGGACTCATGTTGTTCCAAAGTTGTATAATTGCCTAGAGTTGGTTCGTGTTCTCACGGCAGCATTTACAAGAGGACCAGATCAAATGCCCTGTGTGAGAAAGCTGCTCTTGATTGGTCAGAATTTCCATGTGGGAAAAATCCAGGAAGTAAAGCAAACGTTGAAGAAGAGTACACTTGCAAGATAAATGCGACACTTTCTAATGTCACAATGGAGGGACAACTACGCAGGTTGATTTTAGCGCTGCTCATCGTGGACTATATTGCTGTCATTGTTCATTTTAGTCAAAACATACAGTTTGAAAACGAGGCGCGGCTCCAACTAGAAAACAATGTTTTGATGCATTGGATGTGCTGAATGTGCATATTAAGGCAGTACAGGAGGAGGTGCACATTAATAATCCTCCAGGACTGTAACATGCTCATGTTTAACCCAAACAATGTGTCATGTGACTGCAGTTGCTTCACATCCAGGTCGGAACACCTTCTCACCACAAACCAACCGCACCAGAGTTCCTTTGGAGCCGGACTGAGACCACCTCTTCAAACTGCAGTTTGCTGATAAAATCTTTGTGGTTTTCACACTGTGAGCAACATATTACAACAAACAGGATACTCAGAAGTTTCAGATGAATCCAACAAACAACAGTTCAGATATCAGATCATGAAAATGACACCTCAAGGTCACTGAACATTCATGGATAAAAAGGTTTTGATAAACTGTTTTATAACCCTCAAACGTCTCAGCAAGTAACACCTGGATAATAAGCAAATAACATACATGCAGAACATGATTAGTCAATAGTTGTAGTGGAAAATTAATCTGCATCTGCAGCTACTCTGATCATCAGTTTATAGGTTCAGTTATTTAAAAGCAAAAATGCCAAAATATTCTCTGGTTCCAGCTTCTTAGATGTGAAGATGTGCTGGTTTTGCTCATCATATTTGACGGGAAACTGACTTTTTGTCACTGACAGGCTCAGATTGTTATTCTAATAAGTGTCTGACAACATTATGAAAGGATCCCTACAGAGATAGAGCTGTGTGTTAGAGAGTAAGATCCAGAAACAGTCCTGAAATCACTGTCACCAAACCCACCAGACTCCATTTAAACAGTCATGTTAGTGTGTATAGAGGCAGCATGTTGTCACATCTGACTGGCGAGTTAAAGGTTAATTTACACCAAACCAGAGCTGGTGGTTGTTGGAACAGTGGAAAGATGAACCAAGATGGTTTCTGTGAGTTTAATTTTGTTTCTGTCGAGTGTGTTTAATGATGATAAAATGACTGTTTATTTAAATGGAGTCTGGTGGGTCTGGTGATGGTGATTTCAGAGCTGTTTCTGGTTCGACTGATGCCCAAAATAACAGCTGTATATGTCTACAAATATTATTGATTTCATTCATCAGCTGTCCAACTGGTCGATCACTTTGTCTAAAATGCCATAAAATAGTGATAAATGTCCATCACATTTCTTTCTACTATCTGATTTTGTTTGTCCAACAGTCTGAAACCAGAAATATGCAGTTTATCATCACAGTGGACAAATAGAAACACAAAATATTCACATTTCAGACACTAGAACCAGAGATTTTGGGAACAAAATGGACATGGACATAACTTATAACTGATTCATTTTCTGTATACCTGAATAATATACTGTTAATATCATACAACACCAGAAGTGATGGCTTAAAAGGATCCTTCAAACAACCATGCATTCTAGATCCTTCAGACTACAATGGGTTCTAGATCCTTCAGACTACAATTGGTTCTAGATCCTTCAGACTACAATGGCCTCTAGATCCTTCAGACTACAAGGGGTTCTAGATCCTTCAGACCACCATGGGTTCTAGATCCTTCAGACTACCATGGGTTCTAGATCCTTCAGACTACAAGGGGTTCTAGATCCTTCAGACCACCATGGGTTCTAGATCCTTCAGACCACCATGGGTTCTAGATCCTTCAGACTACAAGGGGTTCTAGATCCTTCAGACCACCATGGGTTCTAGATCCTGCAGACTACAATGGATTCTAGATCCTTCAGACAACCATGCGTTCTAGATCCTTTAGACCACCATGGGTTATATATCCTTCAGACCACCATGGGTTCTAGATCCTTCAGACCACCATGGGTTCTAGATCCTCCAGACTACAATGGATTCTAGATCACTCAGACAACCATGCGTTCTAGATCCTTCAGACCACCATGGGTTCTAGATCCTTCAGACCACCATGCATTCTAGATCCTAAAGACCACCATGGGTTCTTGATCCTTCAGACCACCATGGGTTCTAGACCCTTCAGACTACAATGGATTCTAGATCCCTCAGACAACCATGCATTCTAGATCCTTTAGACCACCATGGGTTATATATCCTTCAGACCACCATGGGTTCTAGATCCTTCAGACCCCCATAGGTTCTAGATCCTTCAGACCACCATGGGTTCTGGACCCCTCAGACTACCATGGCCTCTAAATCATTCAGAACACTATGGGTTCTAGACCCTTCAGACTACAATGGGTTCTAGATCCCTCAGACAACTATGGGTTCTGGACCCCTCAGACTGCCATGGTTTCTAGATCATTCAGAACACCATGGGTTCTAGATCCTTCAGACTACAATGGATTCTAGATCCCTCAGACAACCATGCGTTCTAGATCCTTCAGAGTACCGTGGGTTGTAGATCCTTCAGACCACCATGGGTTCTAGATCTGAACATTTAAAGCTCTACTGATGTAGAATTTAACACAGAGCTGAGATACTGCCTCCAACTGTACCAATGTTCCTGTTATTTTGTCCACACCTGCAACATCACCTAAATCTCAACCATGTGGTTATAAGGCTGATATTGATGAGCTATTAGACAAGGTAACTTAACACTGACACATATGAATGAAGTGAGACTGTATGTTCTACATCCAAATGTCAATGAAGTAAGATAACAATCTGAGCCGAAACCTTTCTGCTGCACAAATTTCTGCTTTTATTTAAGACTCTGACGCCTCTAGAAATCATTGAAATTAAAAATGCTGCCACAAAAATCTTTCTTACGTAACAACCAGTGATGAAGGGTATTCTTCTAAGAGCTTTTTATCATCAAAATGTTTTTATTAAGGCTGCGACTGGTGATGATTGTCGTTATAAATTCATCTGCCGATTGAGGCCCCTTTGAGTCCAAGGTAACGTCTAATCATTTACAGCAACAAATTCTCACATTTAAGAAGCTGAACTCAGAGATTTTTTGGTAATTTTGCTTCAAAAACAACTAAAAGTTCAATTGACAATCACAGAAGTTGCCAATTAATAATAGACACAGCTTCGTTTAAAGGAGTCAGAAGCTAAAAAGGTTGGGAACCATTTTTTCAGATGATTATTGGTGCATTCAGGGAAAATTTACACAAAGAAAATCAATAATTCGTGTGTTAGAACACCTTCAACAAATGCGAAAAAATATTTCTCCAAAAACTATTTCGCAAATGTAAAACAGATCTGCTAATACACAAATAAAAAAATCTGTGAATACACTAAATTAATTTACAAATTAATGAAAAACATTTACGAATATTCTCCCAACATTTACAGTTTTACACTTGCAGATTTGCTTTTTTCGCAAATTATTTTTGAAATTTATTTGTGTATTTGCATTTCTGTTTTCTGTTTGAAATATTTCTGTGCATTTACAAATCTTTTTTTGTATTTGTGTAAGTTTTGTATTTACAGATGACACATGTACACACAGGCTGTTCCAGTGATGTTGACACAAATCTATCTCCGTACAATCAAACAGGTTTTCTGTGCTCACATCTTTTTAGACTTCAAACAACCAAGAGATTCAATACAAAGAGGAGTCATGTTTCCTTCTGTTAAACGATCAAGAACAGTCTCACCTCACAGTATCAATATTATATTGATCGATCACCAGCCTCAGATCTATCTCACACCATGTATTTGTATATTTTTGGTGCACTGAGTGTGTAGTTGTGCTTTTTCCAACAGGCCCCGAATGCAGCATGATGTTAATCTACTAAAGTAAAGTTGGTGGAGGAGAAAGATGGACACACATACACACACACACACACACACACACACACACACACACACACACAGATCCCTGAGTCAACCAGAACTAGGTGGGGCCTGTCAATACTCAAGTGTGTGTGTGTGTGTGTGTGTTTGCTGCTGACAGTACAACAGCAGAGGAATAAAACCAAGCCTTGTCTCTACACTACAGTCAGACAGACAGGTAGACAGACATGCAGGCAGACAGACAGGTTCCTCCAAACTCCTCAGCTCCGCAGTCTGCAATAAGTTACTTCCTCTCTTATTTCTCCGGCAGAGCAGCGGGAGTTCCGCAAGCTCTGTGGCCGCCTCAGAACGCTCCCCCCCGGGCCACCTCTGGCGGCAGGCCCCGCTGCCTGCCGGAGGAGCCGGAGACAAGCTGGCACGCGCAGATCTTACAGGGCGTGAAGACGGACAGACAAACAGCCGCCATGTTGTTCCTTCGCCCGTCTGTCTGTTTGTCTGTCTGTCCTTAATATCAACAGTTTTATCGTTAACGGGAGCTCCTGTCTGTCTGCCTCTCTGTCCGTCCGTCTGTCCGCCGGTCGCTTCCGCAAACCCAGCCCAGCTCGGCTCGGCACCGGCCTGTCCCCCCCCCTCCACCACCGGCACCACCCCACCGCCCCCGTCCCGGTCCGGCCCGGAACAGGTCCGTGTACATGATGGAGGGAAGAAAGAGGAGAAAAAGGAGGAAAAGAGAGAAACGAGAGAAAGGAAGCGGTACTCACAGTCATCCACCCGTCCGCTCCGCCGCTTTCTCTCTCACTCTCACCTCCACTCTCTGTCTATGTCGCTCGACCAGAGCCGCTCCCTCCTGCCGCCGCTGCGCGCTGACGTCAAGCTCGACGCGGTAAACGCCGACGTTTCCGGTCAACTCTTTCAAAATAAAAGAACAAAAATAAAGCCACAAAACATTTTTAACATTAAGATAAGATAAGATATACTTTACTGATCCCCCAGAGGGGAAATTCAAATATCAAGCAGCACAAGACAAAAACAAAAAGACATTAAATAGAATAAAAATTATTATTGTCATTATTATTAAAAAAATAAAAATTAAATATTATAATAGATAAATAAAAAGATAAAATAAAATTGCTACATCAAGATGAATAAAGTGACTAAAATGCAATGCTCATAACGACAAAATGAGTCAATAATAATAAAAGTAATAAAATTATTATTATTATTATTATTATTATTATTATTATTATCTAATAACAAACAAATCAGTTATTTGACAGGCAGATTTTTCCCCAAACTTTATTGAATATATTGAGCACATGGAGGGTGTGCATGTGCATTCCAGATTTTAATTACAAAAGATGGAGAAAATATATTTCATAATATTAAAAATTAAAAATAAATCAAATGTAAGGAAAAGAACAAAACATAATTAGAACAAAAATCTCTGCAAAACAGATGATATAGAAATTAAACGTCTAAACAGCCTAATAGTTTTGCCAATTTACAATTTTTTTTTTTTTACAGTAAAGTATGTTTTAAAATCGGTATGTTTGAAAATATAAAGGGGAGGGCAGGCTTTTACATTCATGGTATTTTTTATTGTATTATGATATATATGTATTTTAATTTTATATATTACAGTTTTAATATATTACAGAGTTTAAAAAAAGAAGAGGGAAGTAAGATAATTACTGTTAAAATGCTTAAGAAAGAAAGTCACAAAAATATATTTATGCTAAATAAATATGCAATAAACAGCAGAACCTCCACCTTAGTGTTTCAGAATAAAGGCTCACAGCAAGTAGACTAAAATGCAAAATAATAATAATAATAATAATAATAATAATAATAATAATAATAATAATAATGAAACCATAAAATGAAACAGAAACTTCACTGTGTATCACACACACAATAAACTGTCAATTCTGGTCAGTCATTAATGTTATGCTTTTATTTTGAAGACAGTTTTCAGTAACTTCCGGTGTCGCTCTAACTTCGTCACATTTTGGCTCAGCTGCTCTTTTTTTTTCTACTTCTTGTGACGTTTCAGCCTCGCTCTCAGCTGCTTCCCGCTTCCTGCAGAGCAGAAACACCACAGAGATGCTTCTTCTTCTGTGGTTTCTATTTGCACCGGAATGAAATTAAATAAACTGAAAGAGGTGTGAAACATGACGTCACATGTTACTGTAGCCTACTTTAGCACAAACTGAAGGAACCTGTACTCGAGTATTTCCACTCAGTGTAACTGTCTCCTCTTCCTCCACCTCTGAGGTGAATGCTGTACTTTTTACTGCGTTACATCTGACAGCTTTAGTTACTTCCTGTCCAGGGAAAACCACGTATCTCTGTGTTCCTTTATGTGTTGCTAAATAAACTCTTTAAAACCCTTTGATGTGCTGCAGTTGTTATGGAGACGAGCCAGAGCCTTCACTGCCATTGCTCGTGTCAGAGCGATCTCCAGTGCGACCTGTGGGGGGGGCTCAGGCTGGAAAATATGAATCAGTCACTCTTTCTCCTGCTCAATAAAGGTGGATTTATAGTCGTGCTTTGGCTCTACGCAGAGTCTATGTGCCGTGGCCTACACTGTTGTGAGCATTTGTGTCTGTGTCACTCTGCAGTTACACCTCCAAAACACTAGTTGGCGGTAAAGTTTAGTTGATTGACATGACTCAGTAAAGACAGTTTCAAACACAAATCAGCTTCACTATAACTCGCAGCATTCACAGACAAACACTTGTCTTTATCTGGACACATTTTCCCAACAAATACAACATGCTAACGTTATTAGCACAAGCCTATGGCATTTTACATTGTACAAATTAGCCTAGCAGCTAGCAGAGTTTTTCTCTACCCATATGAAGCCAGGATAAAAATTGCACTCGAGAATTAAGATGCTGCTGTGTGGAGGCTTTATTGTCTCCACAATTTATTGTTTCTTATCTGTGAAATACAAGAATTACCATCCCCTGGTTGTATGACTCCGCCCACCAGCCCACCCTGTGGTTGTATGACTCCGCCCACCAGTCCACCCTGTGGTTGTATGACTCCGCCCACCAGTCCACCCTGTGGTTGTATGACTCCGCCCACCAGTCCAGTGTCTCTGACAGTCTCCATCCATGTCAGTGAAAACATGGATGCTTCACACACAGAAGATCTATACAATCAGCACAGTTTCAAGATTAGAGTCACCAATTCAGTATCTGACCAAATGTCTCCCCTTCTGTTCCTGAGATATGACGTTAAAACATGATGATGTCACAGTCAAGCTGACCTTTGACCTTTTGACCTTCATTATTTTATACTGTTAGACATTTGTGTCAAGTTTGGTCAGAATTAGTGAATAAATTCTTCAGTTATGGCCAAAAAAATGTTTTGTGAGGTCACACTGACCTTTGACCTTCAATCACAAAATTCTTTTTTTTTCAATCCACATGGACGTTTGTGCCAAATTTAAAAGTTTTCCTCAGGCGTTCTTGAGATATCACGCTCATTAGAATGGAAGGTTTTACATGCGTTAATAAAGTGAGTCTGGTTACTTCTTCAAACAAACGACTTCATACGACCACGTCTGAACGTCTCACTCGTCTCAGCTGGTGTCAAAAAACGGTCATGTGATCATGTAATGTGTTTCTGCTTCTGCTGATGTCATGCGATGTCATTAGTCTTTTTTCCTGTCCGCGCACAGTGGAGGTCAAAGGTCAAACTGACCGAAGAAAACTACACCCTGAAACTACAGAACTGGTGTGTTACTGCAGAGTCAGAGCGCAGTGGAGCATGTCGGAGCGTGTTGACGAGAACACGCCTCCACACAGACACACACACACACACACACACACACACACACACACACACAGAGTGTTTACTACAGTCAGAGATACAGTGTTGTGAAGCCACACCCAAACAGGAAGGAGTCACCAAGAATAGAGTTGCCCCCCCGCCCAGCCAGCTTCCCTTTCACTGGCACACACTTCCTGTGTGTGTGTGTGTGTGTGTGTGTGTGTGTGTTAAGTCAAAGTACATGATACTTCTGCAAAAATCAGGGTGTGAAAGTTATCTGATCTATAAATACTCAGAGTGATGATATTTAGACAGCCTGGATATATATATATATATATATATTAATTTCCATGTCAAATTCATTTCACAAATAAATATTACTTTGGGGCGCCGGTGGCTTGGTGGTGGAGCGGGCGCCCCGTGTGCAGGGCACGGGTTCGACTCCGGCCTGTGGCCCTTTGCTGCATGTCTCTCCCTCTCTCTCTCCCCCTTTAACACTTCACCGTCCTGTCAATTAAAGGCAAAACATGCCCATAAAAATATCTTTAAAAAAAAAAAAAATAAAAATAAATATTTCTTTGAATGTGTTTTAATGCAAACCTAAAGCTCCGGTGTTAGAACGAGACATTTATATCTACAAAGGGAGCAGGTCCTCGTCTACAGAGATCACCATGTTGCACAGCCATGTTTCTACAGTAGCCCAGAACAGACAAACCAAACACTGGCTGAAGATAGAAGGTGTTTCTCAAAGTCAAGGAAGGATCCTCAGACGAGGCTGCATCGTTGAACCTCGCTGCAGGACCATTCTAATGTCAAGGATCCTTCTGAATTTCACCGTAGACTGACTCCTTCCTTTGGAGACTTTTTGAGGATGCATGTGTGGAAAATCCCCACAATGCTTTGCACACTATTTGCTAGAAGTGAGGGCGGGGCCTCTTCAATGAAACCTGCACCAGCAGGATGTAGCCTGGATATATATGTCATTTATTTGGATTAATGTCTCCATGAGCTTTTTTTTTTCCATCTACCAGCCACCTTGACCAGTAAGTTAATAAAGTTCATTTTGCACCCTGTGTGGGTATTTAATTTAAGTTCTATGAGTACTTCTCCTTTAAAGGGATAGTGCACCCAAAACTGAAAATTCAGCCATTATCTACTCACCCATATGCCGAGGGAGGCTCAGGTGAAGTTTTAGAGTCCTCACATCACTTGCAGAGATCCAAGGGGAGAGGAGGTAGCAACACAACTCCACCTAATGGAGGCTGACGGCGCCCCAGATTCAAAAGTCCAAAAACACATCATTGAAACCACAAAATATCTCCATACTGCTCGTCCGTAGTGTGCAGTATGGAGATATTTTGTGGTTTCAATTATGTATTTTTGGATGTTTGAATTTTCATTTTTGGGTGCACTATCCCTTTAAAGAGTAACTGATTTTGTGTCTCAGTCACTCACAATTTCTGAAACTGGTCAAGTGTGCAAGTCAGTGTCCGTCCACTCAAAGTGCTGTTTTAAGTCTGTGACATCACTATGGAGAGGATCCCGACAGAGAAGCGACACGTTTTCTTTACTTGTCGCCTTGTTCCAGTCTGTTTCTTACAGGGTGTTACCAAGTCTTGTTAAAGGGGAAGTCTTGTTCTGAAATCTTTTTCACATTGTCGAAATCTATTCAGCCATGACACTGAAAATCTTTAAGATAAGCGTAGGATGTGTCTACTGCACTACAACACAATAAACTCCTCCTGGTGTTGTGTTGAGGACTGATCCCTGTTCATATGTGTGTTTGCCCCTGAACCAAACCTTCAGCCCAAACCATAACCACAGAGAGATGCTACGGTGTAACAGGAGAGAAACACATTTTGACTGAACACCCATACTCCTCCCTCTGACTCTCACTAATGGTTTCACTGTTGTCTTCCTGCAGCAAGTCATCCCTCACAAGATTTCACAATGAGACTTCTCCTTCAGCGTGACCATGACAAACAGAGAAAAGTCCAAAAGGGATACTCTTTATAATGTGTCAGACACTTACACTAACAAACACTGTTAGTGACGGTGTGAACAGAGTGGTTACATTACAGCAGCA